TCCTTTTGTGTCTCCATCAAGGATTTTAGTTCCGTAGAGGCAGAGCTTAAATGGGGGGTTCCGCAGGGGTCCATCCTGGGTCCCCTCCTATTCTCTTTATACCTGCTGCCGCTTGGTGCTATTTTCCAGAAACACAACATGCCCTTCCACTTCTATGCTGATGACTGTCAAATTTACTTCCCCCTAAGACACAATAGTACATGCTCTATTCAACCGCTGCTCAACTGCCTGGCTGACATCAGGGACTGGATGGCTTTAAACTTCTTAAGTTTCAATGAAAAGAAGTCTGAAGTCATGTTGTTCCCTCCCAATGACACGATCACAAACCACTGCATCGACCTTTCCGCTCTAACCGTCAGAAAAACAAAGAGTCACTAATCTGGGAGTGATAATGGACCCTTCCCTGAAACTTAACAGTCACGTAAACATGATTGTTAAATCATGCTTCTTCCAACTGAGGCGGCTGTCTAAACTGAAGCCCATATTGTCCAAAAATAACCTCGAGACAGAAATTCATGCATTCATTACATCTAGGCTTGATTACTGCAATTCGCTCCTGTTTGGTATCAGTCAGACCTCCATTGCACGACTGCAACTGGTCCAGAATGCAGCAGCCCGAATTTTAACCAGTACAGGCAAAAGAGAGCACATCACATCAGTTTTGGCCTCACTGCACTGGTTACCGGTTCACTTTCGAATCCAGTTCAAAATTCTCATGTATGTCTACAAATCACTGAACAGTGTCACCCCCCCATCTCTCTGATCTGCTACAACCGTATGTCCCACCACGCTCCCTGAGGTCAGCGGACCAGTTGCTCCTCATAGTTCCAGGAACTCGTCTTAAGCGCAGAGGTGACAGGGCCTTCTCTGTAGCAGGACCAAGACTCTGGAACGAGTTACCTCTGCTTGTCAGACAGGCCCCCTCCCTCTCTGTTTTCAAGTCCCATTTAAAAACTCACTACTATTCAGTAGCTTTCAACACAAGATAATCTGTGTTTTTGATCCTGTATGCTCCACACTGGTTAGTTGTCATTATCTGCATTGTTTTTTGTCTATATTCTGATTTACCTCATTTTGTATTTTGCTTTGCGTGTTACCTGTTGTTTTGTCTGTACAGCACTTTGGTTGGCCTTATAGTTGTTTAAGTGCTTTATAAATAAAGTGGTATGGTATGATATATGTTGTTAATAAAAGTTCTTAAAAAAACAAAATAAAAACAGGGAGCGCTGGCCCTGCAGCCCACACATCAGACCAGCCCACCAGGAAATCTCCAGACCCTCCCATAGCCAAGTTGGACCTGATTTTAATTGACTCGTGACAAATTCCTTCATTTCTCACATTTCAGTCATGGCGTGAATGGAGGAGGAGGAAGAGATCGCTTGCCTCATGGGAAAGAAAAACAAAAGAAAAGGCCAAATCAGGGATGAAGAAGGGAAATTAATACATTGGTGTAGCATACAAAACAGTCCGTCGCTGGGCAGTTTATTGTGTGACATCGAGTACGCATATGCGGTCGTAAAAATTGAGCTTTGCACAGACATGCCCTGCGGGCGTTCGCTTCGACTCTAATCTGGTACGCGTGGACCTCCGCGGACCCATGTACGAGTGAGTATACTGGAGGCTTAAAGAGAGTGACACCCTGTAATTCGAATATTATATTATTATACTCTCTGGTCTCCCTTTTTGAACAGCGGTACCACCACCCCAGGCTGCCAATCCAGAGGCACTGCCCCCGATGTTCACGAGATGATACAACAAAGGCGTGCCAACCAAGACAATGCAGCAACATCCACAGATTTGAGGAACTCATGGTAGATCTCATCCACTTCAGGAGCCCTGCCACCACAGTGCTCTTTAACTAACTTGGAAACCTCAGCCCCTGGTATAGAAGGACCAACCCAGAAGCCCTCAGATTCACCTTCCTCCATGGAATATAAACTGGTGGGATTGAGAAGGTCAGAGAAGTGTTCCTTCCACTAACCAACAACATCACTGCTTGAAGTCAATAGCACCCCACCTCCACTCATTGGTCAACTGGTCATCATTAACTTCATGCAGACTCTCATACTAGTATATTTTCATCTTTAAATCACTTCTTGGTCTGTTGCCTTCATGCACCTCCTCCTACATATCATGTCGTCAGTGCAGCTAAAGAGTGCACTCTCAAGACATTATTACCTGCAGTGTCCCCTTAGTGCAAACTAAACTCAGCAAAAAGGGCCTTCTCTTACTCTGCTCCTATAACCTGGAACACCTTACAAAAAGATATGCTGGTGAAGATTCTCAGTCATCCAGGACATGATGAATTCAAAAAGCGTTCAATACAAAAACAACTGGACTTTGTAACAGAAGACGTTTCGCTCCTCATCCGAGGAGCTTTCTCAATTCAAAGAGCAAAAAGTGAGAGATTCAGGTTATAAGGCTGAGTGAGATAAGACACACACACACACACATATGTAGATTGGCAATTCACACCTAAACAACATTAACAGTAAGAGTCTTTTGTTCCTCTAATTCACAGACGAGGCCCCTCTCTTCCCATCAGGTGTGAAAACCGGCTGGGAATCTGTTTTAAAGTTGCATTATAGGTTTTTGAAAGTGGAAATCTGAGGCCTCCTCCTCTGTTAAGAGACGGCTTTTCTATTTTTACATAAATTGCCTCCTTCACCCCCCTCTCAAACCATCTGTGTTCTCGGTCCAAAATGTGCACATTTTGGTCCTCAAAAGAGTGTCCCTTCTCTGTGAGGTGGAGGTGAACAGCTGAGTCTTGTCCTGTGGAGCTGGCTCTCCTGTGTTGAGCCATGCGTCTGTGAAGAGGCTGTTTAGTTTCTCCAATGTAGAGGTCTGGACAGTCCTCACTGCACTGGACCGCATACACTACAACACTCTGTTTGTGTATGGGTGGTTTGTCTTTAGGGTGGACCAGCCTCTGTCTGAGAGTCCTGCTGGGTTTGAAATGTACTGGGATCTTGTGTTTGTTGAAGATCCTTCTGAATTTCTCTGATACTCCAGCAACATAAGGGATGACAATGTTTTTATGTCTGTTCTTCTCCTTTTTCTGTTTATTAGTGTGTTTTGTAGATTTCCTCGCTAACTTGACAAAAGCCCAGTTAGGATATCCACATGTTTGAAGAGCTTCTTGAATGTGTTTCTGTTCACTTTCCTTCCCTTTTGTCTTTGTGGGGACGCGTTCGGCCCGATGTTGTAAAGTTCTGATGACAGAGAGTTTGTGTTCCAGAAGATGGTGGGAGTCAAACAGAAGATTGTAGTGGACTAGGCCTACGTCGAAACCCAGTCTAAGGTCAAAACTC